GAAGCTTGCTTAAGTAACCCAAGCATTGCTTCATTGACCTTATCATCTTGGTTTGGAGGTCGGTAGCAGATGCCTACTGTACGATCCCCCTCGGAGAAGACTCCTCTGGTCTTGACCCAGAGGCACTCAATAGGGCTTCCACAATTCTTGTAGCTGAATTCTATACATTAAAGGTTCTCCTTAACATAGAGCATGACTCCTTCACCTCTTCTTCCCTGCCTATCTTTACAAAACAGCCTATAGCCATCCCTTGTGATCCTTCAGTCCTGTGAGTTGTCCCACCGTTATCTCAGTTATTCCTATTCTATCGTAACTTTCTGACTGGGCACGGAGCTCCAGTTCCTCCTGTTTGTTCCCCAGGCTGCATGTGCTGGTATACGTACGCTTGAGGTGGTTGTCTCCTGGTTCCCAGCTTGGGAGGCAGCTAATGAACATCTGTCGCTGTTCTGGTTGGCCTGGCTTGTTCCCCAGTTGGTTGCAATGATGTCAGTGTCGCCACTTTGCACATCACCCGCTCCCCCCCCAAAGTCTTTCAGTTTAAAGCCTGCCTCACCAACTTGGCCAGCCTGCTGCCAAAGATTCCCTTGCCTCTTCTAGACAGGTGGATCCCATCCCTCCCTAGTAGGCTGTAGTCATCGAAGAATGACCCATTGCCCTAAAAGCCAAAGCCCTCACAACGACACTAGCCCCAAAGCCAGAAGTTGATTAGCACTAAACATCTATTTCTGGCTGCACCCTGTCCTCTAACTGGTAAAATGGAAGAAGAGCTAACTTGGGCACCAACACTTTTTTGTTTGAACCGCCAGGGCTTCGTAGTCTTCCTTGACTCCGTCAAGGTTCCAGCTTGCAGCGTCATTCGTGCCCACACGGAAGAGTAGCAATGGATAGTAGTCTGTGCTTTTGACAAGTCGTGGCACCCTCTCAGCAACCTTAGGTCCCAGAAGGCAGCATACCTCTCGCGACTCTTTGTTAGGCTGTCAAAGGGTGCCCCAGAGCACCTCAACAGAGAGTCACCCACTACGAGCACTCGTCGCGTCCTTTCGCGGTACCTGCTGTGTGCTGCTGGTACAGTTTCTCCCTGCAGACCTTGCTCATGGGAGCCTACAGCTGCTAAAGCTCCATATCTGGTTTTACTCTAGCCAACACCTATGACTAGAACTGTTTTTCTGCCCTCCATAGTAAGGGAGGTAAAAACAGAACGTGCTTTGTGCACCTGAAAATGTGGTTGGAAATTAACAGGTTTATACATTTTTAAAAGTGATTTGATTTGCTCTTGGGCAATCTGAGAATCCAACATCACTGTTTCTCAACATACATTATTCTTGACACCCTATAGCCTAATGTTTGTGTAAAAACAGTAAACTATCGTAGAAACACTGCTTTGGATTCACATGGCATGGCTCAGCTAAGCTTCTAATGCTTACAGAAGTTATGCTGGCTGTGAAGACTCAACCGTATCAATACCTCACATAAAGGTTTGGATGAATACATAAAAAAAACCACCAAACAGGTACTTCCGAAAACAAAGAGAGGGCTTGCTACAAATTTCAGCCCCTGCTACAGATTCTTATTGAAGGTGTAAACAGATGAACTACTTGATATTCAAAAAGGTGAAAAATAAAATTAAAAAAAAATCTCAAGCACCTTACTGCTTTATTTCACACTGTTCCACACGTCTTCAAAATGTCTTTCACCTCCTTATGCACTGTTATTTTTAACTAACATATCCCGTCACACAAGTCTATAAAGGGGAGCTGATGCTGCTAAACCGTCATCTTTTGATCAGAAGGAAAAGCATTTTGGTCATGCTGTATTTCCTACGTAGGGCCGGCATTTCTGTGTCGTGGCACGCGTCACCCAGGCTGGAGCCCAGCGGTGAAGCACCAAGCCAGCAGCTGCCAGGCTGCGACTGGGGAAGGAGGGGTCTCCACTTGCCACTGGTTGGGACTGGGGGAGCCCGGGGGGTCCCCCCACTCCCTGCAGAGACACCGGCCGGGCCACGCCACGCCACGCCACGCCACGCGAGCGGCTCCTCGGCAAAGGCACTTCAACACCAAGGCGATGCACCGGGGGGTCGGCTGTAGAGTAGGAAAGAACAGTTCCAGCAATCACAGTGGTTTCACAATTGTTGTAGTAGCTTTTTTTTTTTTTTTTTTTCTAATAAAAGATGGGTAGGTGCCCAACAGAAGGACAGTGTCTGAATTCTGTCCTACGAAGCCACAACACTCACAGAATTATCTGATTCTAGAAAAGTAAGAGAAGGAGGGGAAAAAAAAAAAAAAACAAAGTACCATCTACCACATTCCGCCTATATAACAACACAATTTTTATAAAATGAGGGGTTCAGGGTTTTTTCAATCCAAAAAAAAATAATTGTTGGTTTGTTGTGTCAGACTGAAAGCTTGCCACTGAAGAGCACGCGCAGAGGCTACCTACTACAGTCCCTGCAGCAGCTCTCTGCTGCAACAGCCCAAAGGAAATACAGCATGTCAAAGACCTTTTCAGCAGGTGGCTACAAAAACAACCCCAAATCCCACAATTCCAAAAAGGGCCAAACTGGGCAAACAATCCTCTGGAGGAGACAGCTGGCAATCGCATTCAATGAGCTACTCCTTCCTCAGCATGCTACAGTATTCGCCCGACAGAAACAATTTTCAGCCAGTACTGACCAGTTCTTCAATGGCTCAGGACCTCTCGGCATGTTTTTTTTTGCCATCCCATCAACTTAAATAGAAGTTGTCAATAGAATTAAGGGCAACTCAGCAGCAGCCACACAGAAACAAGTGCTCTGGGGAGAGGTGGCTAGAGAGCGGCCTGCCTCGGGAGGCCCGTACCATGCTAAAAACCTTCGCTACTTCACTTTCAGCTCTGTGGAATTAATAACATTTCCTTTCCGTTTCTCACAAGTCGAGGTTCTCCTCCTCAATAAATTTATAAATGGAAATATTTCTTTGAATCTGTCTGGCTCGAAGCACGTTAGGCGATGTCACAGCACAGTTATTCATCTACCGGCAAGCTGCCCCAACTTCCGTCATCTTCCACCGTTACCGAAAAAGGGAGCATTTATAAAAGTCCATTTGCCCATCTTCAAACATTCTGGGTCCTCCCCCACCAGCTAGCAAACCAGGAGAACAATCACATCCAGCAGCCAGGAAGATGCAGGGGCTGCACAACCGACGCTATTAAATGTTAGGGACGTGAGCTCATGAATCCGAGCCCTCCACTCAACCCCCAATGCAAGAGCTCCCTCTCTCCACTTCTTTTAACACCTCAAATGGGATTTATGAGCAGATCCACCGTTCTGGGGAGACGCAAGCTCCCACCCTGCTCTTCACCCTCCTCCTTCAGTAGCTGTTGATGATAGGGCTGTCGCTGTCACACAAAAATAAACTGGGCCAGTTTTGTCTCAACTATCCGAACAGCCACAGTCCTGAACCAAAGACGCCTGCGTGTCCCCAGCCAGCCAGGTTCTGGGGTGAGCTCCCCCAGGGCACCCTCAGGCTGGTTCCAGCACAAGCTTCTCGGAGCTGTACCCAGCCTCAGCTCTGCTGCAGCAGCACCGGGCTCAGCCCGTCCCCGATTCCCACACAGTACAAAGCAATTCCCCACCGCCCAGCCCGGCGAGATCACCTGGACCTCCCTTTTCCTTCGGACAAAGAACTTCTGCTGCACAGTTCAACCAACAGAAAGGCAGGAGGACGAGAAGTATCCGTTAACTTGATAATATCTTTCTTACTAGGAGACTGGAGAAAGGCGAAACAAAAGCTTTGTGTAGAACAGAACTGGTTTTAGTCAAAAATACATCGTTAAATGCTTTTTAAAAAGTAAGCAGGTAGCCCAAGTCAAAGCACTGTGACAGAAAGCAGCATGTTTCTATTTAATACCTTAAAGTATGCTAAAATGGTTCTGAAGAACACAATGAGCTGGCACCTCCTTCTCCAAAAAGGATACAAGGGGCAGAACTTGGATGTAACAGTTTAAAGAAGGGATTAAGAAAAAAAAAAAAAAAAAAAAAAGGTCTAAATTTGAAGCAGTATTGTTTGAACAAAAAGCATACTAACTATAAGTCAAGAGTGAACTTCTTTCATCCCTCTACTAACTCCTAGGAGCTGACATATTACAGCATTAAAAATCTGGACTGTACCTAACAAAGTATGCCGGGTGGTGAGTAAAGCATCCACTTTCTTCAGTACCTTGAAGTACAACAGCTATTATAAATTTATTTACATGTAAGACTCGGACATCAGGGCAGGGGGCAGAATTGATCTGACCTCTCTTCCTCTTCCTTTTCCATCCCTCACTTCCACTTCATTTAGTTTATTGACTATTTGAGTTTATTCAGAAGAATACAGGGGAGTGGGGACCCAACAGAAAAGCAGTATTTATGCATCGTATAAGCCTAGATTAAAAACTGTCAGCTATCAATTTTATATTTAAGTTAAATCAGTATACTACACACCACAGTCCAGACTCATTGCTTATCTCCAAAATACGGCTGAAAAATACAAAGCAACATCAGTTTTTCCACTCTTTGTTACTCAACTTCTGCAGGAACAATACATGACTTTAAGGTGTACGCATGCCGTGCACTCAGTCCTGTACTTCTCAGTTCAGCATACAAGGCAATTATGTGAATTGTTTATATACATAATTGCTTCAAACTCTGCTCTGAAAAAGCTTCTGCTTTAGATGTCTTTTCCTAAGAGGTGTTAAGTGATATATTGTTGAGAGAAATACATCTGGAAGATACAGTTCAGCGAGTTGCAAAAGCTAATTTTTCCTTCTCCTTCAGCATCACTTGGATAACAGTAATTCAGGGAGTATCTTCCTTTGCTGTCCATGTGCAAGCAGCAAGCCAATAATTATTTGGTTTACACAGGTTACTATGTTTTACAGCTTTCAAGAAATAACTAAGTTGAACAAGGATTGCAAATAAAAATTCAAAAACATACCGCTAGAAAGAAAACAGGCCCTAAAACAAGAAACCAAACACTGCAAGATGAATTGGTTTATTTTTATTCCCTTGTAGCTCCCAGAAGTTTTCAGTAACAGATCAAACTAGTTGTTTTAAAAGGCAAAGACAACAAATATAACACTGACTACGACAGACCTCATTAAGATGTGTCCAAAACATTTCTGAACACAGTGAGTACACATTCTCATTGTGTAATTACATTTCAGAACAAAAGAAAAGTTAACAAATTATCTTTAAGTAGAAAAAAAAAAAAAAACAGGAGAATTTGAAGTTTTGCATACTAGAAGTTTTGCATGACATTTCCTCCAGAATATTTGAATGAAAAGTAGTTTTTATCATCTTATTCCTTTTATATAAGAAGGCCTTCTAAGAGAAGCCACGAGGCCTGTGCATGACCAGCATTTCATTTAAATCAGCTTTCATTCTCTTCTTCAGAGAATCACCTGTAGGGCATACTTCCAACTTTTAAGCTAAAAGGTGATGCTTTTATTATTTAATTACTTTGGTAGGTATGTCAGCACTCCCAGCATCTGATATATTTTGTATTCCTTCAACTTAAAGCACAACAAAAAATTCTAAGCAGAAACAGAACCTCCCACGTACTCCTCTCAAGAGTGGAGAGGATGCACCAGAAGTTTACTTCCACCTACTGCACTCCCTGGACAAATTAAAATCCTGATGTTCTCCGCAGCAGCTACTAGTGAGGATTAAAATTACAGGAACAGACGTGGAAGTTAGTGGGCACACGGTTCTCTGCTATCAGCTACCATAACTGAAGAGGGAATTCTGCGCAGGTTTTGAATTTGTGACCTACTAACAAACAGCCTTTACACTCCCTTGTTATCAAGCCTCTTTGCCATGATCCTCTCGAGAGGTTGAAAGGGGAAGAGCTCTTATTTTTCAGTGTAACAGACAAACTGGCTTCTAAATAAGAGATATTCATGCCAGAAAAAAAACACCAAAGCATTTGAAAATTTTAAGTAACATCTCTCCTGTAGCAGAAACCATGGCAGGCATTAAATTCCAACTGCAAAAGAATTATATTTTTTCCTGAGACCCAAGATTTGTACAAATTGCTTCTAAGCAACATTACAAATATCATTCAGGACACTGCCAGCTTACTTCTCCAGAAATTTCAAGTCACCGTTATCTCATTATTTCGGGAAGCAGAAGGTCAGCTCTGGTCTTACCACAGAGCTTCACCTATTTTCCTACAAGAAATAAATCTATAGGGTTTGCATTCCTATTCAGAGTAAGCTCTTCAAAAGAGAGGACTGCAGAAGTTTCCTTTTTTTTTTTTTTTTTTTTTTTTTTTTTAAAATGGGCAACAAAAGCCATATTTGCCAAAATTTTACTCTTTAAGATAGTACCTATTTGATATTTTATTTCAGATGTAAACTTCTAAAACATGGATTTCAAGTTGTTCTAGATTTGATAATGCAGATTTCATCATCATCCTGTTTCAGAATAGCACTGGAAACCTCACTAAGCAGCACAGGTTTGTCTGCCAAAAAATCACTTGTTTACAGCACAGTCTCTTGGCACATTCTGACTGGAATATTGTAATGTCTGTCATCTTCAGTTATGAGAGTCACCACGGGCCAGTCCTCCTCTGGGTCATTAGGATAAAGTGTGATGAACTCATCAGTTCCATATTTATACAGTCGATACACTTGGATGGTATACTGCAGAGCATAAGCAAGGAGAAACATTTCCACCTACATTGGAAGAAAGTAAAAATATGATGTGTAAAACTAAATGCCTTTTGCAAGATTTTTCTCATAAAAATACTAAACTAATACTCATCAGATGTAATTTTTCAAAGAAAAAAATGTCAAGTAAGAATGCATATACACAAGCATCTCTAGTTCAGCAATTCAATCATATACCTCTAAGATACCATGCCTTTAACATGAAGTTCTTCAGACCCAACAATGGCACCACAGGATTAGTCCTAAAGAAAAGCTACTTTATACAGAGACTCCCACTATCCTACTGCCACAGACAGGCAGGAAAGACATTCTCTCCTATCAGCAGTCGCCCTGTAAGTCACTAAATCAGACAGGAACGAGTTTCAGGCAACAATCCTTGCCCCCTTAGAAGGTACTCTGAACTCTCTGGCCAAATAAAAAGCTGACGGGAAGGCCTTACGAAGCCTGTTGATATCAGAAGGAATTCAGAGAAAGAAGCTGGAAAAATCTGTCTTGTCTACTACAGTGGCAATCATATCCTGTTTTAAATAATAATTCACACTGAATATCACTGAAATAGATTAATCTAGTCAGCACAAAAATAGGCAACCTAAAACTTACTGACTAAATTGAGCAGCAAAAATGTCACCAATGAATCAGCTCATTTATCAGCAACCTGTCTCATCTATACTACAGTCATCAGATTTTTAAGCCAATAAATAGAAATGAAACATAATAATTAGACACAGTACCACACTTGTAACATATTCAATGGGGTTTTTTTAAATGGATGTTTCTAAGAATCTTTCAGACTATTCAGCTCATTAAGCACTACATTTTGATTTGGGGCTTTTTTATAATACGCATACCAGTTCTGCAACATAAGTGTCATTAGTTTATCAGAATTCATCAAGTAGATGCACCACAGAGGATCTTCTCTTCCTGATTTGAGTATTGGCTTTTATAGAGACATTTTTTAAAAAGCTAACTGTTAAGGACTAATACAAATGTTACTATTAATAGAATATCATGCTTCCAAAAGAATGCTGCCTAAGTGTCAGCCACCAGACCAAAAAAATTAAAAAAAAAAAAAAAAAAAAAAAATTAAAAAAAAAAAAATCAGTATTTAAAAGGAAGGCCTTTATAGACTCTTGCTACAAGCAAGGGGCTTGACTGTATTTTTTTCCAATGAAAGACCAGACAGTACGCTATTAAATTTAGCCAGACCAACAAAAGCTTTGACATTTCCTAAACCACTTGAAACCAAAACAGGAAAATAACACTGTAAGAACAATCTCTCCTTACTTGTTCAAGGCCTCCACTGTGACCAATATGATTCAAGTGATTCTGCATTAACTGACGAGGGTTGCTAGATGTATCCCGTGCAAACAGCAACCATGAGAAGACAGGTACTCTCCTTCCATTTTTATCATCATTGTATAATTTGATGGCAGTGTTAAGCATCAAAAACTTCAGTGCTTCATAGAGACTATACTCCTCCTCCTCATTTTTAAACAATTTATCACAAGCTTCTTGTTTCTCAATAGGACCCTTGATTTCACTTATGTTCTTCCACTATAAAAAAAAAAAAAAAAAAACACAAACAACACGTATCAACAGCCATCACCATGCCAGAGCTGCAAAAAGATACTTGTGAGTTGTCAGATGTTCACAGACACTCGGAATTTAATTTATGTCGGGCTTTGTGCCTTTTTAAAAACAATCAAGAATATTTCCACAGCTGTAGTCCTACTAAAGTCAAGTTAAGTTAGTCTGATTTTGTTTAAATTAGTCCTTAAGCAAAGCAAAAGGAGATGATGCTCGACATTGTTGCAAGGTGGCAAAACAAATATGGTCACGGAACAATAAGCAGTAAGGTAATAACCTTTTTGTTTCCCATATCCTCAATCCTACATCATTCATATTCTTTACATTTCAGTTGCTCAGAATATGTATTTCATTCCAGCCCTCAAACTGCTTGAACGCAGCCTTTAAAATACTCATGAAAGCCTTCAAAAAAAGAGAATATGCATACACAGTGAGGAAGGAAAAAACAAAGAGTTTTAAAATAGGTTCCAGAGTTTTAAGGGGGGGAAAGATGAGGCTAAGTAATACAGTGCAAATGCTGACAGGGCACAGTCATTTTCCTGTTACATTAATCTAGAACAAAAACATATAAACGTGAAACAAAACCTACTCCTTTGAAATTACTACACCATTATTCTGTATTTTTTGATTTCCATGACCTGTTCAAGGTAGCAACAGCATTTGTCCATAGCATACATCATTCCTTCAAATAAATACAAGAAATAGAGGCAAAATGTTACTCTGTTACATTAATTTCTTCATTGAAACCTCTCTAACTAATTAATAGTTTTCTGCAGAGCTGCTTACAAATTAATTCCAGCCTAATGCAAACAGTGAAAGACCAGAAAACTCTCACAGATCTGAACAGACATCCTTTACTTGACTTTTTTTTACGTATACATACAGAAAAGTGATTTTCACTAGTGAAAATATCCTTATGCTAAATTCACCACACGCAAAAATCTTTGTCATTGGTCTTATTTGCAAGTGACCAAGAATAAATAAATACTTTTCCAACCTTTTTCCTGAGAAGTATTAAATATTCTCTAATTTCATCACTTATTTCTCCCGTCTTCCTGCCCAGTTTCTGTTTTAGCTGCCACTGCTTGATCCAGTCATACTTGCTCAGCAAGCTTTCAGGAAGCTGGAAGTTGAGAGAAGAGAAGGCAGCTTAAATCAAAAGTCTTGAAAGGAAAAGACACCAACTCGCACATTGCTATTATTTTATTGATTTTTTTTTTTTTTTTTTAACATTTTGCACCTTAAAACGATCCCTCAATATGTTCTTCTGAACAGATGTCGTAATAAGATGACCATAATTGAACACGACTCCCTCTCTATAATACTTGCTGGATAACAATCAGAATACTGGTCTATTACTATTTCCAGATGTAACCAATACTTAAGCACTGGAAAAATTAATGATCCCAGGTTACTCATGGCTTTTTTTTTTTTTTTTAATTAAAAAACCCCTCCAGCAGCAGATGACCATGACTGTGTTTGAAAGTGTCCCTGAACCAACAGAAGAGAATGTTAAAGATGCGATGATATCCAACAGATAATCCAGAAGTCTTGTTGGGAGTGCAGACTACTTTGTCCAGAACACAAGTGTTTTCTTTTCAGGGAACATAATTAAAACAGTATGGGACAGGTTTCCTTATAAAGCAGACAACAACCCGGGGGTTAGTTGATGCATCAGATCATACTTTAGCCTCTTCTACTGCTCACATACTACACCTGCTCAGTTAAGAGCTTTTACACTTCTCTTTAAGGACACGTTGGCAGTTGCATGCCCAGTTTTTTGCCCTTATTTATTAACCCATTTTACCACCGGAACTGCAAGAGCAACTCGTGTCTCACAATGAATTAAATATTTGGCTAAAGCAGCACATATAACATCGGCCATTACCAGCCAGTTTTCACTTTTTCAGGACTCCAAATTAGCAATATGTTCTCTTTATGGCAACCAAGTATTTGTGAGGCATACAGACACCTTCCCCCACCCCAGCCTGGCATCCTATGCTAACTGGATGTTTAGAACTAAATAAAGATTATATGCCAGTAACTTCTACAACTAGAAATGTGCGTGTAAACAGTTTTCAATTAAAAAAAAAAAAGACAAAACAAAAACCACAGAAAACCTTTGTTAAAGTTATATTGCTAGCTGTCACTATACACATTTCTCTCACATGCCTTGGGCTTTGATGCATTAAGAGTTTATCATTTCAGTCAGTTTTATAGTTGTACACCTTTTTCAAAAAAATGTTAATTACCACATGACACATTTTCCTCTACAAATCAGTAGGAAAAAAAAAAATAGGTGAACATCATTAAAAACTGCGAAGTACACCATTTAAAAAGGTTTACAGGTTCTTTAAAGGAGCACTGGGAAACTATCTCCTACAGTTTGATAACATGGAGATTGTTGTCAGGTGGGAGAATTTTTTTCTATAAAAAGGAAATCTTTTTAAGAAATACTGCTGCAGTAATAAACATTCCATAGAAACAGTTTCATCAGTAATTACAAAAACGTATCAGCAGAAGTTTACATAGCAGTGATAGTGACTGCAGTGAGAAATTTTAAGGATAGCCTCTAAAGTTATACAGGAAAATAATAAGAGCAGTGTGATTCTACCTGGACTGCTAGTCTACACACAGAGTCTGCATCGGACGTTCATCATTCACATTGCCAGCAGCAGCCTGGACAACTGGAAGCTTACTCCCCCCTGAAGGGGGGCACCTTTGGATCAGCAGCTTCGTACATGTTTCTTCCACGTTCACCAATATCACCAAATGGACTTTGCTGACACGAGACAATTTATGGAATATTTTTCTTCTACTCTTAGTAAGACACCTTGCTTTGCTTATCCACCAATGCTCTGTAAGAACTGTTCTTTATGTCAGGTTGGAGTCACACTTACTTTAAGTAACATTTAAGACATGGGCAGTACACATTTTAAAAAGTCTGCAGCATCCAATCTGATAATCCACTTTCTAGAGAAACTGTATATGCCAAGAATGCATATTGTAATTTTGAAAAGCTGTTGTTTTTTTTTCAAATGCATTTAGAATAAGCTGTCTATTTTTTTTGTTATTATTGGCTGTCTTGTGGGCAACCTCTTACTGCCATATTACATGCCCTAAGAAGAAACCAAGAGGGCAAGACGAAGACAGACAAGTTACATTACAGTCAACACCGTGGTAACATTTATACATTATAAACTGGAAACTACAGGGACTTGGACTCAATTCCAAGTTGAAAGAATCACTGTAAAAGTACAACAAAACTGAACACTACCACTTCTCAATTCAAAGGATATTAAGAAATGAGCACATACAGCACAATAGAGAGATGAGATCATAAAATTATCAAGTAGGGTAGAACCAACATTCCTCTACTGTCAGAAGATCAGAGTTTGACACGTACCATAGTAAAATCCTCACTCTGCAGCCAGCTTGGTAACTGGGTGGCTTGACTTAGTGCCTGGAAAAGAGTTGCTCTGAGAGCACAATAGTTGTCACCTCGTACTCTCCTTATAGATGCAAACCTCTGAGCAACTGCTTCATATCCCTAAAAAACCACAAAATCCAAACAACATCAAAGCATTAATAAAACATTTTAAGGTCATGCACTGGTATCATAAAACATATGGGAATATTAGCATCCAAATTCTAATGATATTTTTTTAAAAAAAGGGGTTGATCCACTACCCATTTTGGAAGTTCAAATGCTTTTGTCACAAATTATGCTTCGACAAAAACTTGCTTGGGTCTGCTGAATAACAAACAAAAAACCAAAGAAATCCAAGCAAATAATTGGTTGTGGCATTTAGTTGATAACAGTGTAGAAATATCGTTGAAATGTGGGTAAATAACCTACTTAAGTTTAAAAAAAAAAAAAAAATCTAAACATACAAACACAAGACCATAAATGTAAAAACATATCATGCTTAGAAGAAGTTTCAGCAACAGTTTACTCCTTTTGCCCAATATGTGTCACATGTAGTTGTTTTTGCCTCAGGGAAAATTTGTGTTGACACCGAAATATCTTGACACATGCCTCAGCACATCTGTCCCCTCCCTGCTGTCCCCATACATACACTTCTAGCAGAAGCAGCAGTGTTGAAATGTAACTTGTGAAGCTCAGTGTGTCTCCTCAGCTAAACTAGCAAGAGCCAGTGCCCTGTGCATCTGTACTGCTCTTACTAATCTCTTGAAGGTGACAAACAGATCTTTTGATTTACCAAAAAGTATTTTTTAGGTTTACTCATACATACCACTAAATTTTCAAACTGTTGAACAAAAAAAAAAAAAAAAAAAAAAAAAAAAGACCCCAACCAACTTTATGCTTTATTTTCTACCATTCTAGCTCAAGATTAATAAAATAAAACCAGTCCAAAACCTATAAAAATTAAGAATTCAGGAAAAAATTTTAAAAAAAACTGAGCCTACTCGTTAAAGCTTCCATCTTAAAAATCATGCAATTCACCAACTTCAGTTATTTGCCTTCTGCCAAAGAGTTTGGTTATTTGCTCTGTCATTTCAACAACCCCACAACATTACCATTTTATGGTAATAAACCAAATTTAAAGCTTTGACTCAAAACAGTAATGAAGAACAGTATTCATCAAAACTCCACACTACCAACAAGTACCCTTACTAAAAAACACATTTTGAACAAGTACGAACAAAACCACCTTCCAGATGTCAGTCACTTCTAAGACCAGAGGCTGGAAAATACAGCTATTGCATTTCCTGTTTTAAAGATTGTTCCTATAGGAAATCACCTACTAAACATACAAATGAAAACAAAAAGCCCAATAAAATTAAACAAAAAAGAAAACTGATACCTTTCTCATCCTTTTTGCGACTGCTGTATTTCCTCTCCATTCCTTCCTGCAATATTCCATGATGTCCATTTCAGGTGCAACACTTAGTTTATGTTCTGTCAAAATAGAATATGTAACATTATACTGAGAACTGTGAAACAGAACAACATGGAAAAAGCACTGAATTTCTAAATACACTGTATCACTTTCAGGTAACATTGCTGCCAAACAAGACCGGCAGCACAACCTTTAGCTACTAATTATTGGTATTGGAGGGGAAAAAAAAAAAAAAAACCCAAGCAAAACAAACCAAAACAAACAAACAAAAAAAACCAGCTTGCTCTGAAAGCCACAAGTGAACAAAAATAATGATGTGGTCCAACAAAATAAAGAACATTCTGCTCCTCTCTTCTGGAAAATATTAACTGGTAAAGAGTATAAATTAGTACAGTACTCAATTTTCTTAGCAATCACAAAAATATTTGACAAAAGTTTTTCCTTCTTTCAGCAGCCAGACTATAAGGGAGAAAGATAACGGATCTTTCTGAATAAGCCAGAAATAGTGGTAGAAAGAAGAAATACAGTTTTCTCTTGGAATCCTAACAGCCTTCATTCCAAACCAGACAGCACGAAGGTCATCAAGGGATCCCAGCAACAGATGATGCTACAATAATTATAAATAATTAATTTTCAAGCACAACATTCATAAGATAATGTGACTGCTTTTCAAAGGATTCACATTCACTTGTAAAGCATCTACAGAAACACAGGGGAAAAAAAAAATACTAACAGCAACTAGTTTTACATAAAGCTGATCTTTTTGTGAATTAAACTGTACAATGTAGTCGGTCATAGTCAGTAACTTCTATTGCACACAGAGACATCTGTACACAAGGATGTCAAATCATCACAAATTAAGTGCTATAATGAATACTGTATTTAAAATGCCAAAGTTCAAATGTACCTGAAGAGCTTGTCTCATAAAGTAGTATTTTCTCTCTCTCTATTTCTTCTGCATCACGATACATGTCCTCCTCACTGCAATAAAATTCAACACAGACTTGACATGACAGCACAAATCTTACAGTCATTTACTTTTTTCACTGTTTACAACTACAGGCAAGTACTTCAGTCTTTCTCTAAGTATTTTTTCAATTCCGTTCACTTTCCACTTTTTCATAAAACCAACAGGAGTTCTCGAAAAAAAAGTTTAAAAAACCCTCTCAACTCTTTCCCTCTCTTCTCTAAGACACCTACATGGGCAGTGAATCACTGCCTGAATTTTGAATTTCTCTTTTGCTGGTTGAATGGAGACTACAGAGTACTTTAGTCCCTTTGTATTTGTAAATTTTACATGATAAATTTGCAAAAGGTACAAGCCAAAATGCCTTTTTTGCCGAGTATATGAATACTGCAACCTAAGCACCCAACTAAGAACTCATTACTCACCAGAGCTTTGTGTCTACTGAGGCCAAGCAACCTGCCTAGTAATGAGCAGAATGCAGGACAGAGTATCACGAGGAAAAGCAGCCAGTTACCTGCAGCCAGTTTGAATGTTACGAACTCAAAGGAAACAAAATTCTAAGCGTGATCCAAACCGGAGCCTACGGGCTAACCGAAATCCAGACAAACGTTTCTTCCTCAAATAACATGGGCTTTTTGGTCAAGTTATGCTGGTTTAGGAGTCAAATGTCTCCATCTGAGCCTATCTACAGACATTCTGAACTCAAGTTATGACCGTGAGGGAAGAAATGATGGCCTAAAAGGATACTGTTTCTATGCATAGGATAACATCATCAGGAAAATATCTTGAAGCTAGCATGTGAACGTTACTGTAGAGAATGGAGGTCCATACAGTGTTCAACAAACAGACAGCAAATTGCACATTCCTTGAAATGTGATTCTGAGTGTCATTTGCTCATCTAGAAAACAAACTTTAAAAAAATCAGTTTCACAGCTAAAACACTTTAAAAAACATTAGCAAATCATTTAGGCTTACCGCTAAAAGAATGTTACACTGAAAGTTTGCATTTTGAAGAAAGTACACATGAGCAAAAAAAGAAGCATAAGGTTATTTATTATTCATTGCCCACTACTATTAGTAGCTTCCTACCTACTACTCAGAAAAACCCAAACCACACTGTGCTTGCAAAAGACCAGGAAAAAATTAATGCAGCCAGGTGGTAGTTAGAACATTCTCAATAAAGCTGAAAGAATACAGTGGTAAATTATGGCTCTGTATTTCCTTTTCTTTATATTCAAATCAGCTTGCTTAAAAAAGGTAACATTTCTAACCCATTTGCATGTATTTCCCTTGAGAACAAAAAAAAAAATTTTAGTATAAAGACAAATATAGGTTAATACCAGGAAGCTGTCATATGAAACTATAGTTTAGTTTTTATTCAAGTTTCAGACCTTTAGCTTTCAAACTGGGTTTCTTGGGTGCTCAAGTAGCTGCTTGAGATCTGATTTGTAACAATATTAAAAATACATTAATTAAAAGAGAAACAATAGAGGCAATAAATATTAAACACAGTACTCCATAAGAAGAGTACTACCTGCTGAGAAGAAAAATCACAGAAACACTTATCCCAAGTCCTTATCCTTGTTACAGCATGACACTGGGCAAACCCTAATTTCCACGCATAATCTTATTTCTCAGCAGAGATTAAGGTCCACTAAGGTTTGTGAAAAGCTTCAAGAATATTCAATAACCTTGAAAATCCTATGACAAAAACAAAACAAAACCAAAAAAACCAACTGTATCTGACAGCAGCGATCTCCAGCCTAGCTTATCTATAAAGCTAAATATTTAAAAGATAAAGCAACAGCCTCGCTCTCTGATCACGAACAAACCTGCTTCTATAAGGGATTCCATAGGAGATGGCGAGACACGTTACTTTGGGATATATCCTCAAATACATTTAGGTTATAATGCACAAAAAGTGCTCAACTTAGTAAACTAGTGAGGTCGCTCAAAAAAGAAGTTTGGTGTAGAGTAGGCAGCATCATGTTCTTTCTGCAGATATTACCCCATTTTCTTTCTGGGAGTTGACAAAGTTGAACTAATAGATTAACATTCAGCGTAAACAAAGTACTGCAATTTAACTGAGTTGTTTTGAAATCAAGGTAACCAAGAGGTGCAATCCATCTGCACAGGCACTCATTTCAAAGTTGAAAGTGCATCTTAACATTGTTCTAGCATAGCAACTGTTGAGTAAATCTGTGGAAACGAAAGCTTTGCCCCATTAATCTTCATGTTAATCTTTGATAATAGAGCGAAAAGAAAATAACAGATGGAAAAGAATAATTAAATGAAAACATACGTGCACAAAAAAAAAATAGTGCAAAGTGTTGTGTGTAAACACTTAAATTGTTGAACTAGTAAATCAGGTTCTGCTCAACCAAAGATATCAAGGAAAAAACCAGGATGTCAGATTTTAAGAGTATCCTGGGCTTTCCATTTTAAAAGTAAACAACACCAACAAAAAAAAAAACAAACCACACCAACAAGAAAAAAAACTAAACCCCAACAAGCTAAGACAACAAGCAAAACTAAGCTTGAGAGAAGGGAAAGGACTATAGGCAAAAATATAAATAATTTTATACTAACAGATTTGCAGGACTAGAAGTCCCGGTATCGAAGAGAACACACAAAAGCAAAATCAATGCTTAAAGTCTTCCATTTATTACCATGAAGGGATGAATATTTAATTTTTTAAATGTCAGATTAAATTTATTGCTATTAATAGTTCATGTAAAGGCAAATTACGTCAAATAGAATTAGTATGCCAAGTAGCAGCTAATTTAAAAATTCAGAAGGATAGAGATCCTCATGTGCCACAGTTTTGCTCACATACAAAATACACTCAATACATATTTATACAAATATGCGTATTAATGTTAAATGTGCTTTAATATTAAAAAATTCACATTAACATATTAGATTTTTAAAGCATCCTTGCAAACATGTACTTATTTATAATGACTTTTCCACTAAGTAAGAGCTTATTGTAGATTTTGGATGTTGTCTAAAATAGTCCACTGGCTTAAGACGAAAGAGGATTAATCAGGAATCACTTTTTTCCTCTTACTTTATTAACGTATTCTTCAGTGACATAAAGCCACTCTTAATGTCCATTAAATTTGTTTTCAGAAGTTTGGAGTATCTTTTTTTAAAACTTTCAGATTTATTTCTTCCTCCAGATATCAAATATCCTTGTAGACTTCTACTGTCAAACCTAATCAGTATGTCAAACAACTACAATTTTAACTCAGCCTATAGCAGGAGGTTTACAAAATCCAACCAAACAAAAAGTTCAAGTGTTAGGACTAAAAAAAGCCTTCTATCACTGCCAGCACTGCACCTAACAAAGTGTTCACAAGGTTAAATGCAAGCTACCAGAGTATCTTTCTTCAAGTCTTAGTTCCCCACACTCTGCATCCTACCCTTAAGAGCTTAATGTCGCGTTATTCCCTTAGATGGGGAAAGACCACCATGAATAAACCACAAAAGTAAGCAATTTGTCTAAAGGGTGAAGGTGGCCTTCAAATTTTAAATTTGACATTTAGATTTATTTCACTAAGACACTAACATATATGAAATTTGGCCAAGATATTCACTTTGATGAACTGAAAGCACCCCTCACTTTCTAGAAAAAAGCTGGGTTTATATTTATCTATCAAAAAAATTCCTCACCTGTCCTCAGATGAATCCACTGCTGAACAGTTACTTGACACAGATAGATACAGTTCACAGTTGCTAAATGCATCCTGATCTGTCAGAAATGATTTAATCATATCTGTCTTCTCTGGTCTCCCAGGACTTCTGTACACAGGGTCTTTTCTTACTTCTGACGTAGATCGCGCTTTCTGGTCAGTAGCTGTGTTTGCTGAACCGAGTTCATTAGAAAGAACACCAACTTCCTTTTCATGCCTCATCAACTGTTTAGCAACACTCTCTTTTTTCTGTGTCTGTTCTGCACCTGCAGAAAGGCTGGCTGGTTCCGTCATCCACCCTTGAAAATTATCCTGGCTTTGAAGAATGGAGAAACACATGAAGAGTATCTCTTGCGGAAGAACAAAAGCGTATGTTTTAACAAAATTACATATTCAGAGAGTACTTAAATTATTCAAAAGCAGAAGCAAAATCCGGAATAGTTTGGTAGAACAACACAGCACCCGAGCTGTTTTCAAGCTCATCTCCCTGGCAAGCCGATTTCTTACCAAAGCTAACCCGTACCAGTTCCCGAAACGCAACCCGCCCTAGAATTAGCGCCCTGACTGAACGATTGCCTGTCTCAAGGGGCATTATCACCTAAAAACCTAAGGATTAACAGAAATCCCAATGAAACAAGTTTCAGACTCGCAAGAGAAGCATTTTTACAAACTCGCCCCGTGCTCCATGGAACCTTCCGCCGCTCAAGGATTATCGTTTAATGGAAAACCCACAGTCTTTGTTTCTTCCATCTACGATTTCTAAGCGACTATGAGACAGGACCTTCTAAAAATCCATTCTAGTAAGCTGTCCCGAGGCTTTGGATGCGCGTCAAGGATATTTATCTGAAATTGATGCACAGCACCCCTCAACCATTATAGGTTCCTCTGCAGTTGCCGCAGTCGTGTTCCGGACAAGATTCTGACTTCCACCTTCAGGTTAAAGCCTCGCACCCGCCACAGCCACATTCCGCCCCTCCACCCCCCCCCCGAGAAGGCGCCGTTGCCCTCTCGCACTGGAACCCGCCACGCACGCAGCTGCCCCTCCAGACGGAGCCCAGGCCCAGCGCTGCACGCCCCGTCCCGGCCGCCATCCCCCCCCCCCCACCCCGGGAAGGCCTTGGCAGGCGCCCTGCAGCACCCGCCCCACCGCGGCCTCCTCACCTCTCCGGCGGCCCCCGGCCGGCGGGACCGCGGGCCCCCGGCCGATGGGCGTTGGCCGCCGCGCCCCGCCGAGCGCTGGGGGCCGCCGCCGCCGCCGCCGCTCCGGTAGGCGGCTCGCCGCCCCCCGCCGCCCGCCGCCGGCTGCTCATGGCGGCGGGCCGCTCCCCGCGGAAGGAGCCGCGGCGGGCCCCGCCCACAGGCCCGCGCGCGAGGGGCGCCTAACGCGGCTGCCGGCGCGCGCCCGCCGCTCCCATCGCCGTGGCGGCGGCGGCGGCGGCGGCGGCGCGCGGCGCTCGCGCGGCTCCGCAACCGCTTCCGCCTCGCCGGCCGCAGCCGCCGCCGGCATCCTCCGCCCCCGGCGTCACCACGCCGGAAATGGCGTGCCACACGTACCCGCGCTCGCTTGCTTGCTTCCGCCCTTTCTTCCGCCCGGCTGCGGTTCACGCACAGAGCGGCGGGACGCCGCCGCAGGGCGCGGCGGGCCCTGGGCCTCAGCGCATGCGCGTTGGCGGCGCGTGGCCGCCGGCGCTCCGGCTGAGGGAGTGCTGGGGCGGGCGATACCAAAGCCGGCCGCGGAGCGTGTCTTGTCTTGTTTTTTAAACAGCGAGCTTCCAGTAAAGTGCAAAATCAACGCTTGAATTCACGCGGAATAAAAGGAGTTAAGTGAAAAGCCCCGAGCTCGGAGACACCAGTTAAGTTCTCTTAAATACAGGGGATGGGGGAAGTAGAGCTGCTTTTCAGTTGTCAGGTGCCCCGCGTTAAAATCCTCGTGCCGTAAGGAGGCGTGTGTGACGTAAAGAGGCACGTGGAGGCGATAATCGCTGGATGGAGCTTGTCAGAGGGTGGAAGTTTCTCTTCCAGCAGCAAAAAAATGCATCACCACCTTCTCCTGCACCTTTATTAAACGCCAGGCAGGAGAGCAGCCTGCGTAGTGAGTAAATTATAAACCCTGCAGAGTTACGTTCAAGAGTTAAGCACACCCAAGACTATTAACAATGGAATACTGAGAAGAGTAAAAAGTAGGAAAGCTGCACTGTGGGTAGAGAAAAAAGTCCACTGAAGTCTGAGCATTTTGTTCACCTTGAATTTGGGCTTGAAAATGAAAGAGAAAAGTATGTGTCTTCATTTTGGAATTTCCCTCATAAGAATGCACTTTCTCTGAATAATACGAGTGATGTTAAAATGGGGAAAATTACTATAAACGAGCTGACAGTAAAGGAAATTGAATTAACAGGATTATTAAAAAAAAAAAAAAAAAATCCCTGTGTTTAGAGTATCCAAGAGTATAGGGAGAACATTTTAAAGGTGGAGATCAGGTAGTAAAACCTGTAAAAGGTTAAAATGGTGATGATAAGTAATTTGCAACATCACAAAATATAAGTCATGAAAAACTGATTGACATGTTTGTAAACAAGCTTTTTCTGTTTCTTTTATCCTTGAGACACAGGGAAGTGTCGTAATAAATGTTTGACGGAGGGAAAAAAAAAAAAAAAGGGGGAAAAAAAAAAGCATTACTTTTTTTTCTTTAATCACCGATCATTTTGTGGATTAAATCTGTGTTGGATTGCTCATGACAATGACACGTCCTTTGAAAAATCTCTTTGTTTGAACAACTGTTTGACCAACAGATTTGCCTCAAAATCCGTTCTTATTTCACATTGGCCACTTCAGAATTACTCCTGTTCAGACAGCTAGTCCACGTGAAATATACCCAACTGTTTCCCATGTTCCCATAATTAAAATATTTTCACTTGAGTAGCATTTAAGAATTATTATAGCTGCCTGCTTTTTAAGATTAGGTTCTTTTTTTGTTTGTTACAGACATTTGCTATTCTCTCAGCAACTTTACAGGAGAGACGTGTTGTCTGACCATTTCACAACCCTTCAAAGAACTACAGAGCAGAATAATTCCACAGAGCTTTAAACACAGATGAAGTTGCAGTTTAGACCTAATTCTTCATGAAGATCAAAATACTGTGTTACAAAATGACACTGCAAAATACATGAACTGTACCCAAGAAATGAAATTTGCTAATTCTATGCTTGCTCTATTTGGAACTGTTTCCTTGAAACAGAAAGTTCCTAAACAGCAAATTATATGTCCTTTCTCAAGAATTATTAGAAGAAAACCATGCTATGATGTCACATTTCAGGCTGCATTGCAGTAACGCTTGCCACGTGAACTTGAAAAAATGGGTGCAGTCTTTTTCATTTGATATTTATCTGCTTACAGATGGGGCTTGTGCCAATCACGTGACTAAAATTTTTTTCTCTTGGTCACAAAAAGACAAAAACTAAATACTCAAAGTAGCGTTTTTCCTGAAAAACTTTGTGTTCACATTAACAAAAAAAAAAAAAGTATTCCACATGTCATTGGCTGAATAAATAAAGTCAATAGAAAAGTCCGCTCTCTCTGCCAAATACTCCCCCCACAAAAACAACTGGAAAAAGCTCATAATCTTCAAATTAGGTATATTCCATAGTTGAATCGATAAAGGTAATTCAAGGGAATATTTGTCAGTTCAACCCTTATGTAAACTACATCTAAAAATGAGGGTTTTCGCTGCCTCTTGTGAACAATAGATTGCAAGCATATATGAATTTTATTTTCTTAGCAAGGTGTATTTTGGGGTTTAGTGTTGATCTACAGTAGCTATACAGTTTCTGGAAATAATTGAAGGTTCCATGACACATTTCACAAGATCAACTGTGGCAAAAGAGTTGTATATTAGTCATTACCTTCCAGGTTGCAGAAATTCAAAGAATAGTTTTAGTCTGCAAGTAAAAATGTGTCCTATGAACTGAATGCAGTAGCTGTCAAAGAGCATGCAACAATACTAAATAATGTTAAAAGAAAAAGAAATGGGCATGAAGTGCAGTAAGAATTTATACAAATGTCTAGAATGCTGTAGATTAAACAAAGCAAAACATTGTTTGTTTTACAATTACTACCAAGTTCAAAAACCAAAAGGACTTGAGCTTGAGGTCCTGAAGTTTGCTTTCTATAGACTGTGGAAGTGATGAACTGTTTTTTTCTTAGATGATCTGTTTTTAAATGAACAGATTTCTCAAAACAAACAGTCCTCTTTGTGATTTGTATATTCAGTTCCATATTCTAGTAGGCATGTGTAATTAAAAAAATTAGTCTCATTTTCTCAAAATATGTAACATTTCTGAGCAACAGATTTACATAAACTATAAAGTGCATTAGATAAAAAATATGCTGGTTTTGTTGTTTGTTTGTTTGTCTTGGTTTTGTTTTGGTTTTTTTTTTTTTTTCACACAGCTGCTTGCAGTATTTTGCCCAGATGTTTGAGAATAATGTTAGTCACAACTACTTTAGTTTAGAGCTTGGGCCATACATGATCACTCATATCCATTGGCAATGCTGTATTTTCCCACAGAAGACTTTGCAAAGTCTTCAAGGCAGAGGTAGAACCTTGCTTTCCAGTAATGGCAAATAATAAATATATGCGCACAAATTACAAAAATACTGACATTACAGATGCTAAGAAGAATTTCCACGGGATTCTGTTGAATTTCTGAAGTTAATTTGAAAGAACAATGTCAACATATTCAAAAAAATGTAACTGTATATTAAGATCAAGCAAGCTAGATATATCCATACAGAAAAAAATGGAGCAGCTGTTTACTTTTGTTGATATCAAAATAGTCCTGTTACTCTAAGATTTTTATTTTTAAAATGGGGCTTAAGCAGAATTTAGACATCTAAACCCAAGATCTTTGTATTACTCCCAAAACTCCTAAAACTTGTATTTTCAGACTTCCATCTGCAAAGTGGGCAGACAGCTAAATATCACTGAAGTCTACAGTAAAAACCCAAAGCCATGCCTGTTGTACTCTGCGTGGTCTATTAATAGCTCAGACTATTTCACTTAGAAATCTAGTTCTCCTGTTGTCATAATTCCCAGTGTGAAGGCTGTATAGCTCCTATACCTATGGGAGAGGTGAGATTCAGCCTCCTAGCTGAAAACAAAATTGTGATTTCTGTTCTCAACCCCAAGGTACCAAGGTCAACCCCAAAATCATGTAAATGTGAATGAAGATCAGTGAGCACTACTTTTAGTGTAGTGCAATTTGGTGTTACAAGAATAGCTCACAGTTTTGCAAGAACGCATCCCTGGGGTGATTCAACCTGGAATGAGTTCAGCAGGCTTCACCTATTACTCTAAGTTGCCCACATCCTTTTCTAAGTGTAAGGCACAACTATTTAACTTTGTCATTATGAATAAGAGCATATATATCAATATAGATTAAAAAAAAAATAATCACACAACAGCAAAAAATGAATTAGTAGATACCAAAACTGAAGAAGATATTTTAGCTTAATATACTTTTCCCCAAAGTGCTTCTAATTCTTTAACTATTTTTTTTCCCCAGGCTGGGTCTGTGAAAGGATTACAAAGCAAACAGTGAAGCAGCAGCACATGGTATTTTGGGATTTTGACTTCCTCAACTCGGGAGGGTTAAGGATCTTTGCAAGGCAAAACCTTTCTACCTGGAAGACTCTGAAGGAGTTACATGCATACAGACTTATAGAATTCATCATCATTCATTGCATACAGCTTTCTACAGGAAACTGGGCTGCGAGTCCTGACTAACATACACATTATTCTATTCTAAAAGACTTTGCTCAATTTTATTACTACTGTTTATGAGGAGGAGGTAGAGTCTTCAGGGTTGTTTGGAATGTTCAGTCTTTTTTAATGTAGGTTTACAAGAACTTTTTCGTATGTATGGTTTCATTCAGATTAATTTTTTACTCATTTTTAGCTGAAGCAACTTTATCATCCTTTAAAAAGTTCACGAAAATACACAATGAAGACATTCAGTGTAATACAAGGATCATATTTTGTAGGTCTGAAATATTTCTGCACTGGATACTTTCTGGTAAAGGATGCTAGCAACTGAGGTTTTGATACATAAAGAACCCATCGAACATCATGAAAAAATATTTTGATTGTTTTTACCTTATTTAATGCATCTTGGTGCTGGCCAGCAGTTATCTTCTTTGCTAAACCACTTGAAAATTGCTCCAGAGTTTTCAGGAGTATGATTAGAAACATTCGGGTGATCAGTTCTGCTTGTGACTATAGGGGAATACCATTCAGAAGAAAATAGATGGGGAAAACCCACCAGTAAAAGTCAAATGGGCAATATAATATCCGTTATATACTTCTGTAATTACATATTACTTGTGTGGGTTTTTTATCCTCTAGCATCCCTGAATTTGTTAGATATCTCCTACCTTGTACATAAAGACAGGTATATATACATGCTGCTTTCCACTTTTACAGCTTCCCGTTTTATATTTTACTAAGTGAGCTCTAAATTGGCGTGCTGCTGTCAAACAAAAAGGCAGTTCCAGCATGCTACGTTATTTTTCAAATGACTGAGAAAAATATGTAGGTTGTGGCTTTGGTGCAGTGGGTGGTTTTTTTCAGTCCCTTGAACAGAAAAAAGAGCATGTGTGAATCATGTGAATATAACCTATACATCATCGGTAAGAATTATGGCTGTTTGCAAATTAAAAAACTGCCACTATTGTTCATGGCGCACCGCTCCAAACAATTAAAATAACAAGTCTTCACAAAAAGAAAAAACAAAGGCACCTTTAAAAATCTGCTTCACGATTTCTCTGAGCAAGAGTAGTTTGCACATTTTAAAATACATGAAGATTATGAGTAAATATATTGTCCATGAATTTGATAAAAACATTTATTAAAAGAAGTTACAGTGTGATGTTACTATTTTTTTTTTTTTCGTTATTAAACAAAGAGCAGCTCGTGTCCCCTAAAGGAAAAATATATAGAGAAAATTTTGTTTTAGTAAATCAACGTTCTTGTCAATTACTATGTCAGAGTAAGGCAGCAATACTTCCTGCCGACTGTTGCCCAGACCAAGAACACTCTTGGTGGCTCAATTAATTATCTAAACCTCCCTGAATAATTTCTATGTTTCATGCCTTTTTTCCTTTCCAGTTTCCACATTTTCAAAAAAGGAGAGGAAATAGAGGTCTGCAGAAACCAAATAATGATAATAAATGCAAAACTCCAGCAGTTTTATGAAACAGAAATTAAAGAAACATCCTCATGCAGGTTGCCCCGTCTTCTCTACCCATGGTATCAAATATGTATTTCCTTTATGGATGCTTGAATATTCAGTTTTCTTTTAGCTTACAGGGAAAGTTTAGAGTTAGAGTTACTGCTCCAGATCTTACAAATCTTATAAATCTGCAAAAAAAAAAAAAAAATCTTGTAAATCTGCAAAAGATGTATGCATTTTTATTATACTGTAAAGAAGAAAACATTGGGTCTTGTTTTTGTAAAAAAAGTAGCATTTTACTTGTGTAAAACAGCATGGTCACTGCTGCCGCTAAAAGTGACTCTCCGTTAATGTGAATGAATTCATTGCTATCAGTAGCCTTCTGAAGGTACCTGAACCCAGTTGTGAAGCAGCCCATGAGCTGAATTCCACGACGAAAGGAAGCACCAGGCTCGTGAGCTACACAACTTCTGGCCTGCGACATCAGGATGTTTTTTTTTTTTTTTTTCAGGGAGAAATCTCTACTAGTAATACTCGTTGACACAGGTCTCAGCTGAGAAGCATGCGGTCGGTGGCAGGACCACCAGCCTCTCCTTTGAAATGCTGTGACCTCCCCTTTAGTGAGGAGATCACGAATCTGCCTGATGGCCTGGGAGTGGTCAGGCAGGTGAAAGACCAACAGCAGAGAAGCAAAAGCACCCCAGGGGGTTGCCAGGAGGAGGGATCAAGATGAAGTGGTGAGTCGTAACGTTCTGCTTAGGGTCTGACGTACCTGTATCCATCACATTTGCTAGGTTATGTGATAGAAGCTCATCTGCGCACACACCAAGGAGCATGGGGAGACCACCCTCGTCAGCTGTACAGGCAGCAAACCTGCAAGCCTGGCTTTAGCTCTCATGAGAGGTGTCTTTGTAGTCAGATGTACTTTGCGGCGTAGTGAGTCATTAAGGTCGGGACATGAAGAGAAGCAGCCATCAGCTAGGTTACTGAAATAATAAAACATCCCAAAGAATAAGCAAGCTTCACCATAAAAACTGTATTTCAGTATCAAAAATCAAGAATCTAAGTGGCTTTTATTACTGTGCTAAAATTCATGAGTCCCCTTTACTGTTTTCTGAAAGGAAAAAAAGTGGCATTTTATTTTAATGAGTCAACAAATCAGCCTCAAGATCGTTTTCAGTTCATTAATCAAATGAATTAGATCCGTTCATTAATCAAATGAATTAGATCCATTCATTTGGAACAACTCCCTCTCAGCTGATGTTCATAAGTCTACCTAACGAACAAGCCTTTGGAGTTGATTAGATGTGGCTGCTCTTGCAAATACCTCCTTGAAACAGGGAATATATTCACGCCTGCTCTGCGACTACTCCCCAGATGACCGGTTCCTCGGAGTCTCGCTTCTTGATGCCAGCTCCCATCTTCTCTGTTTGGTTCTTGCTTCCCTGACAAGATGTAGCTCTCCATTTCTGGCTTGCGTCAGCCTTCCTTAACGAGGAAGATCAGGGTTACTGAAGCACTTGTCCGTTTCCCCTCTGCCAACTGTGGTACTAGAATTGCCTTCGTGGATGGTATAAGCCTAGTCCTTCTCAGAGTACAGCTGGCAACATGCACTGGCTTCCACCAAGAAGTAGACCATAAGTCTCAGCCACAGCATGAACTCTTTGCTGTGGTACTGTTCTTAAACCTCAATACATACAGAAAATTTTCAGTTAAAAAAATAATCTCTGTGTAGGAGGGCTGAAGTGATCCATAAAATATGCTGAACTAAGATGGAAATCGCTAAAACAGAGATCCTTTGGGGGGGTTGTAACAGTAGGATTCAGTCTCTGAGCAGCACAAGGATTAGCAAAGAAAAAGGTATACAAGAAACACACAAAAAAGACCATTTTACAGTAAGCAATGACATGCACAACCAAATTAAACAAATAAAATGGAACAACCTCTGTGACAGCAGCAGAAAAAAACCCCAAAACCCCCTGTCAGAACAGGAGCGTCTTATAGCTGGATTCTTTCCAAACCATCTCTGCAAGTAGTGTAGAAAAGACAAAGTGAAATAAGACCAGTTTAAGGTTAATCATGACTGAAAGAGATAAGAGACCTAGCAAGAATATTCTTAAAAAAAAATGGTTACATATTTTACCTCACATGCCTTTCATATATCGCTTTATGGCTAATGGTTCCTCCAGAATTCTGACAGATTAATTTTGCTTATTCTTTATTTAATTATTTTCTTGAGGTTCTGGATTTCTTTACTAGAGCTATCATTTGGAAAGCTATATGCATTTAAATTGTAAATGACTAGCCATTATTGTAAAATAGTATTTACCTATATTTAATGCTTACCAAATACCTTCCTTTATTAGGACACGTAACTGTAGTTGCTGTTTCAAACACAAGAAAACTCAAAAATAATCTCCAGTTAATTTCTTAATTTATGCTAGTATAGTTTGTTTTTAAAAAAATGTTTTAACAAACCTTAATGCTACAGCCAAACTGTAGCAAACATCCAGCTAGCTGACAGCTGTCCTTCATTTACATCTGTGTCCCACCTGAAGTAATACCATCTACTTTTTCATTCCCTAATCAAGTCAGCTGAATATAATTTGGCATCCCATTCAAACAAACAAAAACATGTACACATTTCTCACATTACCAAGTATAAAAAAAAGAGGCATTTTTTTGCCTTGTTTCTTGATGCTTTTGCTTCTGCATTATCTTTCAGCTGTTTCCATTGTTTTGACCTAGAGTCAATCTAATACAAAACTGAGTTGTGTATATTGTTCACTCAGTTTGCCTTGCTGGTAAATCCTGTCTTGTCTAACATCTTCCCTGTCCTCAGTCTCACTGTCATATTTTGCTACGGCACTTCTCTTGGGAAGTGTTGGGGTAACTCCCTTAGGCAGCATGGTTTACTCTGCTATTGCTGAGAATTCTTGAAAGTAAGACAAACAGTGAAGAGAGTGAAGTCAGCTTATTACAGCCACCCAAATCAGATGGTGGAGATATGCATTTGAATGGGAAGGAGTAAGCAGAATAGAGCTGTTGCTGAATAATGTGGCTTTGGCAAGGCTCTCTGCAGCATAAGACCCTGCTAAAAGGTAAACTTTCTGACCACAGCTCAGTGCCACTTAGTTTTCCACATTTCAGAGTTTACAGAGGACCAACATGCTGCTTTAAAGCTCTGGAGCTCTGAACATTTGAAGTCCCATCAAGAAAGCAGGGAGGATTACCTTTGGGGAGACTTGAGATCATCTGGAAATTAATTTCCCTGAAGTAAAGTCTCATGTGTGAATTCATCTATTAGGAGTTATGTCTCGGCTTCAATCCAGCAGAAGTCAACAGCAAAGTTAGGAGTAACTTTAATGGTACCAGACTACTAGGGAGGACCATAGGCAATGACCACAAACTACATTTCAGTGATTTATGGAGTGTTCGCAGGGCTATTGCTGAATTAAATTCTGAAGTATCATGTTATCACCTTGTGTCATTGGTCATCTCCCCCTGAATTATTTGTGATTTAGTGGATAAACTGTTCTTTGATGTGGCAATCTGATAATATCAGAATATGAAGGTGTGTCTGCCCTTATTTTAAGAAGACGTGACCATTGTCTGAATTTACTTTTGGCCTTGAATCTCTTGTTTATGATCCCCCTTACTGGGGTTAGAAGACTAAGGACTGCTGTTCTGCAGTGACTGACTAAAAATAGTTTGATGGTTGCAAAAATGGCTTTCTGCTACCATATTTATACAACTAGGTACTAATGTGAATACTCAGGGAATAACTAGTATATCTGGAAACATAGAAAATAACAGATAAAACAAGAATAAGGAAACCAACCTATTAGGTGATATTCCTCAATACTGTTTTAGCTATTGATTTTCACATAGTTTACTATGGCAGTGAATATCAGTGTTTAAATTAATGTCAAATTTTGTCTCTGTCACCTGCATTCCTTCAAGAAGGACTTGCACGCTTTAAAGGCTGTTATGGAATTATTTCTAGTCTCTAGATATAATAAAAAAATCCTCATTTATGTATCTCCTAATGTTACCCCTTCCTTGCAAAGAAATTCTAGCATCTCATTTGAAACCTACGATGTGTAACAAGTTTACAGAAAGTCTTTATTTTAATGTTTCTATGATGATTACACAGAAAAGATATAAAAAAATAAACTAGACATGGGTGGTTGCTGTATGTTGTATTGGTTTCTTGATCAGCTATTTGGAGAAAGTTATCACT